GATATCCTTACAGAATCTACAGATATTAAAACAAGCCAAGAGCGGTTGGTCCTGCACATCTGTAGTCCCAGCATTCTCAGAGGTTAAAGGAGGAGGAGCTTTTTGAAATTTCAAGCACAGCCTGGGCAATTTAGTGAGATTCTGTCTCTAAATAAATAAATAAATAAATAAGGGGCTGGGGATGTAGCTCAGTGGTAGAGCACTTTTCTAACATGTACAAGACCCTGAGCTCAATCACCAGTACTGACCCAAAAAATAAAAAGGGATGGGGAGGTAACCCTCACCTAGGAAGAGGAGGGGGAGGGGAGCTGGATTACTTGTGTTGGAGCTCAGAAAATAACACCCAAGGTATGGTGTTGGCACTGACTTTAAAGAAACCCTCTAACCTCCAATGCAGTGATTCCCGCTGATCCCTAGAGCACAGGATTAGGTAAGAGGCTGGGCCGCTGCAGCCATCTACTGTTTTTTTCTGAAACGTATTTAGTACAGGGTAGAGCACTACTGTAGAGCAACCTCCCAAGCGTGGGGATTACAGGCACACCACCACACCCAGCCTCAATTACCATCTCAGCGCACCGCGGGGTCGGCAGAGCACACGGGGATCGAACCTCGACCGCTGCGCTCTGCCTAAGCAGGTGCTTTAGTCCACTGATCTACTCTTGTGGCTGTTACCTAACAGGCCTTATTTACAGGGCCAAAAGGCAGGGCGTCTCGGTGCTTCTCCCTGCCCCTACCAGAACTGCGGCCACCTTCCCCAGAAGGTCAGGCGCTCCTGCTCCTTTTGCTGGGTCAGGACGCTGCACGAAGCAGCGTGTGTGCCTTTTCTTCTGCTAGCATTTCTACTGGGCGTGTATTTTATAGACTCAAATATCAAACCTTGGGGAGATGAAAAGTCCTCTCCTTCCTATACCTGAATAGTCCTATTTTTTTTTTTTTAAATGTATTTGGTAGAGTCTCACCATGCAGCTCTAACTCATAGTGATCCTCCTGTTTTCAGCCTCCCCAGCACTGGGATTACAGGCAGAGCACCACCATGCCTGGTCTCAGTGGCTCAGCGCACCCGGGGTCAGGGCTGGCGCAGCATGTGGTGCCAGGGATCTAACCCAGGTCTTTGTGCGCCAGGCAGGCACATAGACTGCTGAGCAATCTCTCCTGCCCTTGTTTGTTTTTTAAGACAGGGTCCTGCTGTATATAGCTAAGGCTGGCCTTGAACTCCCTGTGGAGCCCAGGCTCACCTCAAACCCTTCCTCAAAACCTTCCTGCTTCAGCCTCCCAAATGCTGGGATTCTAGGTGTGTGCTACCACGCCCAGCTTGAATTTAACAACTCCCATAAAATCCAAGCCTACATGACTTAATTGGTAAATTCTACCCCAAAATTAAAGAATATATAAATACCAATTTTATACAAACTCATTTAGAATACAGAAAATTCATTCTTTGCTACATTATCCTGATAACCACAGAAATATAAAGTTATAGCCCAATATGAACATAGAAATAACAGAAAAGGCCAAGGCATCGTGGTGTGCACCTATAATCCCAGCACTGAGAGTTCAAGTCCAGCCTGAACTACACAGGAAGACTGTCTTAAAAAAAAAAAAATTCTAGTGAATGGAATTCAGTATTATTTTTAAAAATAATATGATGAAAAATAGTAACACAATGAAATAAGGCTTATCCCAGGAGTGCAAGTTTGGTTTAATATTTGAAACTCAATCCATTTAAACCATCCTATGAGAAATAATCTGATGCAGAAAAAGCATTTAGTAAGTCTTCATCCATTCCTGATTTTTTTTTTTTTCTCCGAATGACCTCAGGGCAGGTTTGGCTGGCTTGAGTTGTAGGGATCGAACCACAGCAACCTGAGCCTGACTGCTTTGAAGCAGCCACTTAAAGAGCTAAGCTAAGGGGCAGGCCCCCCATTCTTGATTTTTAATTTTTACCAAACTAGGAATATAAGGAAACTTCCTTAATCTGATAAAGAAATCTCAAAGCCTTCAGCTAACATTAGACTTAATGCTGCCCCAATCCTAGACTCTCTGTGGTGAAATTCACCCATTCCCAGACATCAACTCTGAGTTCTGTGTGTGCCGCCCTCCTCTATATAGCTAAGGAAAGCCTTCTTTTAAAGTCAGAAAATGGCCAGATGCCAGAGGCTGAGACAGCATTGTGAAGGTGAATCCGGCCTGGGATACATAGGAAACTGAGGCAGGGTCTGCAAAAAGGCATCCTTAGGAGACTCTTGCAGGCTGGGGATGCTAGCAGAGAGAAGAGTGAACTGGGAAGGATTTTTTTTTTTTTTCTTCAGGCTCTTTAGTTTTATTTTCTAAGTTTGTGCTCTCCCGAGGGTAGCTTTGAGAACAGGCTATGGTAAGTATGACCTGGAGCCACAAAAAAAGGAAAAAGAAACAGGAACGCCTGAGTAGCTAACAGGATGGAGGCAGCAGTGGCTAAGGCAGGGGGCTGCAAAGGCAGTCCAGCATTGCACTTCCGGGCCAGGGAGGCAGGGGAGCCGGCGCTTCCGGCCCCATAGGCTGTCCTGTAGCACCCACATCCAGCCTATGCCTCAGGCCTGCGGTGGGGCAGCTGCTCCAACTCAAGCTGTGGGCACAACTGAGGGAGGAGGTGGAGCAGGAAACAGCAAGCTTTACTCATTTTCCGTTACTGAAAAGAGAACTCCAGCTATAACTCAAGCCAGATTCGAGGCTCTAACAGCCCTCCCCCAGCTGCTGCAGGGTGAACACTGGGGTCCTTGGCTGCCTGCACTTTCCTTACTCTGGGGCCTGTTACCATTACCACAGGACTGCATAAAACAGACAAGCTAGGCCGGGATGGTGCACACGCCTGTGATCCCCAGCACTGGGGAGGCTGAGGCAGGAGGATCACCGCAAATTCAAGCCCAGCCTAGACTATATGATTCAGTCCAAGGGCCAGCCTGAACTACATAGCAGAGCCCCACCCCCCCAAAAAAAAGTCCTGTTAGGTCTGTTTTATTTATTTATTCACTGAGATAGGGTCTTGCTATCTGGTCTGTTTAAACAGAACCTTCCTCCACCTCAGTTCCTTTTAATGCTTTTTCTTCCTCCACCCTCACCCTGCTTCTTGGCTATAAATTCTGGCCAGCCCAAACCATACTTGGAGTTGGGGCCACTCTCTCTACCTGTTGCTGTGGTCCCTGTACCCATGATGATGATCCTGATAAAATTCCCCTTATGCTGTAACTAGTACCCCTCAATAAGTTTTTCCTTACAGCGTCCACACCCCAGGCTTGGGATTCTGATTCTAGAAGTCAGAACTGGAGCTGAGCATCCAGTTATTTTGTTTTGTTTCTGAGACAAGAGTCTCTCTATGTAGTTCAGCCTGGCCTCAAACTTACTATGTAACCCAGGCTGGCCCAGAGCGCTGGGATCACAGGCCTGTGCCACCACACCTAGCTCATCCATGTTATGAATGCTCAAGTGATAACTGTTTCTGTAGGTGGGCTCCGTCCAGCAGAGTCCATTGCTTGGTGTCCTGGAATCAGGCTTTTTTAAAACTCCCCAGGTCTGGTCCCATGCTGTGCAGACTAAACTCAGACCGCTGGGTGGAGTCCCGTCCCTGTGTCTGAGAACTACTGGGTTGGGCTGAGACCCCTTCACCCAGACCTCTGTTCCCAGCTTCCCTGGAGAGGGTGCCTCCAAATGACCCCTCGCTCTTTCCTGTCCACTCTCTCAGTACAGCCTCCAGCCTCATGCTTATCAGTTCCCACCCCCGCAGGCCCTGGTCAAGCCCAGTGGTCCCAGGAATGGTCCAGGACCCCAGCCTATCACCATAACAAGGGCCATCTGCACATTCCTCTGGCCTGCTGCAGTCTGGTGGCTCTGTCAGTCTATGCTGGGGGGCTCAGCCCAGGGCAGACTTGTGGGGGCCGCGCAGGGATAGGGAAGAACACACGGCGACCCGGGGCTAAACAGGAGGCTCAGGGAAGCAGGAAGATGTCACTCCAGAAGCTATGAACTTCCCCTAGGCAAGGAATCTCGGCCTCCAAGGTCAGCGCTAGGAGGTTCAGTGGCCATCCAGTTCCGCCTCACAGCGCCCCGCACACAGCGATCTCTTTCCAGCAACTCTCGTCCCCTCCTCTTTGCTTTGGAGGCCGCTTCTGCCCTTGGGCTGAACCTAGGACCCGCACTGCACGCGCTGGGCAGGCTCTCTCCCGAGTGCCAGCCGCAACTCCGCCTGTCCACCTTTATCTCCTCACTGCTGCCAGAGACTTTGTTTTTGCCTGCTCAGCCACAGTGCGAGTCAGACACGCCTGCCGCGCCTGGGGAGGTGGGGGTGGGGGCTGCACACGGAGCGACAGTCACCCTCGCGGGCAGAGTCGGACAAGGTATGGGTTCCGGGACGCACACCTTTAAGGTGTGGCTGACAGTAACTCAGACCTGCCAGTCCCCACACTTGCAGGGAGTGGGGGGCACGGGTGTCTGGCAGAAACATCAGCGGCTCCTCCCAGCCAGGGACACTTCTGGGGACTTCAGGCCTGACACCGAGAGGACCTGCTCTGCTCTCCACGTGGGCAGCCCCTCAGCTGGGCCTGAGAAGGCTTTTGAAGGGTGTTTTGGTTTTTGGGTTTTTTTGCTCCGAATGCTTTCCGGGCAGGTTTGGCTGGCTTGAGTTGTGGGGATCGAACCACAGCAACCTGAGCCTGACTGCTTTGTTGAAGCAGCCACTTAAAGAACTGAGCTAAGGGGCAGGCCCCCTTGAGAAGGCTTTTGAATCCAGCGGGGCTGAGCACAGTCCCAGCCCTGCTGCATGGTGCCCAGTCCTGCAACCCCGCACCTGCACCCGCATCCGGAGGGCGGAGGGGATGATCGCCGTGAGACAGGCCAGCCTGGACTACACGGGGAGACCTTGTCTCAAAAAGGAAAAATGCACATGGCTGGGCCCGCCTTGCCCCCTCATCCCACCCGCCCTGTTATCCAGCTCCCCACAGGCACCCCCCAAGTCTGGCCTGAGGTTCACCTCCTGGCGGCTGAAGGCCAGAGCGGACTCCAAGCCTGGACTCCCCCTCCAAGCTCGCACATCCCGCAAAAGGACCCACCCAGTCCTGGCTGTGTCCCCGCACCACCCGAGGGGCCCCACCAGCCCCCGCCTCCCCTCTCCCCTCGGCACACCTCTGCCTCCGCTCGCTCTCTTCTCTGGCGCTTCAGGCTGCCCCACCCGCTCCTGACTTCCTGATCCCTCGGCCCCACCCGCGGGAGGGAGAGGCGGTGCTGGTGCCCGAGGCCTCCACGGAGCCTGGGCACAGAGCCCCGTTTGCGAGGGCTTCCAGCCCAGCTTGTCCCGACGCCCGGGAAGCCACAGGTCCCAGCCTTGTTTCAGTGGCCTCAGCAGAGGCCGGAGCTGGGGGACATCTCCAAGTGTGACACCCGCAAGAAAACGCCGCTCCCCACTCACCAGCCCCGAAGACCGCTCGCAGCCCAGCCCGCCCTGAGTGGCGCAGTCAGGCACCTCTCCTGGGTGGGGTCAGCTCCCAGCCACTCCTCCTCCCCAAACTACCCCTGCCCCAAAGATGGATCCTCCTCCACCCACCTCCAGAGCCAGGTATGCGCCACGCCCTCAGTCCCAGCTACTCCCAGCAACTTCGGAGACTTCCGTGGGAGAATCAATCACGTAGAGCTAGGCTAGTGGTGCAAACCTGTAATCCCAGCACTCGGGAGGCTGCGGCAGGAGGATCCTTGGAGTGAGACCAGCCTGGGCTACAAAATCAGCTCAAGGCCAGCCTGAGCTGCATAGCGAGACCCTTGTCTCAAAATGACAAAAAAGAAAAATGCTAGAACTAGAAGAAAAAAATTGTAAACTCTTCAGTGTAAGATATATGTTCATTATCTTAATCGTGGTGATGGTTCCCTGCACGTTCACACCTCTTAAAGCTTCTCAAATTGTGTGCTTTATGTAGCATGCACAATATGTTCAATTGTTCCAGAAAACTTAAAAAAAAAAAAAAAAAAAAGGGTCTGGGGAGATAGCTCAGTAGAATAAGCGCTTGGGCCTGAGTTCAATCCCCAATTCCACCCAAAAAAGGGGTGGGGGTAGTGGAAATCTGAAAGAAGCTAGGATGTAGCTGTGTGCTCCAATATCGAAAATAAATGGGCCAGGGAGATGGCTCAGTGGCTTAAGCACCTTCCTAGCAAGTGCAAGGTCCTGAGTTTGATCCTGGTACAAAAAAAAAAAAGGAAGAGAAAGAAAGACAAACATAATGAGTTCTGCTGCTCATTCACCAGACTGCTGCTGTCTCATTTGGGGCCCTGGGAGCTCTAGGGTCAGCGATGACCCTGACTCGGGTAGGACCCAGAACAACTGTCCTCTTACACCATAATCATAGGGCTGGAGAGGACTTGTTGGCCCTGCAGAGGACATGGAGGACCTAAAAGCACACATGACAGTCCAAAAGTCACACAGGGACCCAGAGCCCCTGCAAGGAAGACTCCTATTTCCTCAGGGACTCTCAAGGGAGGACAAGCAGGGTCCAGGCTCCAGAGAAAGTACACAACTTTCTGCCCATGACCCTGGCAGGCTAGTGGTGGCAAAGCACCCATCAGCAGCTGCTTTAGTGGAGTGTAGTGGCACATGCCCAGAATCCCAGCACTCAGGAAGGAGGCTGAAGCAGGAAGGTTGCCACGAGCTTAAAGCCATTCTGGGCTACACAGAGAATTGAAGGCTTGTCTGAACTACTGATACCAGCTTTGCGTGCGCGCGCGCGCATGTGTGTGTGTGTGTGTGTGTGTGTGTGTGTGTGTGTGTGTGTTACTGGGTATTACACGTGCCAGGCATGCGCTTATGCTGCCTAGCTATCCTCCCGGCTGAACTATGTAGTGAGGCCTTGTCTCAAAAAAGTTCTCAGTTGAGTTCAATCCCCGGCTCCGCAAAAAAAAAGTTCTCAGTATTCAGGATCTAGGCCCTCAGCCATGGGCAGGGATGTGTGCAGCAGAGCAAAATCTAGAACTGCTCTCCTGGTTAGTCATCTGCAGACCACACCTAGTTACCCGCTGCTCAGACTCTCAAGCAGTTGGGGGGGAGGGACGCGTAGGAGGGGGAATGTTCTCACTGGATCCCAACCAAGCCACGTGCTACAGCTTCACCACAACAGGATGGAAAGTTATGCATTCTCCCCATGAACGCGGCCTATAACTGGCGATGTCCCCATAGCCAGCTGTCAGCCTTAAAGACGGCGTGGACCCCAAATGGAACCACAGGCCGTGCAGGAACCAGAGAGTGGTATAGTTTGGCTACTCACTAGCTGTCCTTCCTCAGGACAAGGGTTCAACTTTCAGGAGCCTCCTCGTGCAGTCTACAAAATGAGTATACCGAAAAACGTGAAGATTTCTTGAGATCTGAGCAGTAGCCCACTAATAACAGATGCTCAGTAAATGGGGCCTGCTTTCCCTTCCCTTCCGCGCGCCACGCCTCCCGGCTACCCCGCAGCTGTGCCCCGCCCCCAGCCCCAGGGTTACCCCAGATGAAGGGAAGTTAAACTCCAGGTTCCCCTCCCCCAGTCCTAGCCGATTCCACCACCCGGTCAGCAGGGCAGAACGTGGGCGGCACCCACGCCCCCAGGGAACAGGATGAATGGAACCCCTGTTCCGGTGCTCGCCTCTCCCAGCGCGGGTGGGGTTTGCGGAGAGGGTGAAACCAAGGAGCAGGTCCTGCGAACTCAGCGCGGGTGCTGGGGATTAATCTGGGAACAGGCCCCAGAACTCGCTTTTTATGAAACACAGTCTTTCTCCTCCTTCTGGCTCCCCCGCCCACAACTAATTGAGTACTTTGCAATTAGAATAAAAGGAACTTTTGGGTCCTGCGGTGTGGACCGAGCGGAGGGGCGGGCGACCCGACTTCCTAGGTCCGGTCCCGAAAGAAGCACGCTACCTTCCTGAAGGCGCTGAGTCCCAGGAGAGGCCGCCCGGCCCTGCCGCCTGGCCCGGCCCTGCAGCTATCTGGCTATCGAGAGACCTAGCCGCCGGTCGTCGGGGGTTCTTGGAGAACTAAACTGCAGATTTGTGTCTACTTCCTGCTCAGACGCCACATCCTGAGCCTCAATCGTGCTACGCACTGTCGTTCCTTGAGTGCCTACTTTGTGCTCAGTGCTTTAAAAGGGATCCTCAGTCCTGTTTAATATAATGAGGAATTCGGCAGGGCGTGGTGGCGCAGCGCATACCTGTAATCCCAGCACTTGGGAAGGCTGAGGCTGGCGAGTCTCTTGAGAGTTTGAGGCCAGCCTGAACAACATAGATCCTGTTTTTAAAAAGGGGAGGAATTCCGGAAGGTTCACTCTTCTCTTCATTCAGAAGAAACCAGAAAAAATAAAATAAAATAAAAGAAGAAGAAACCAGAGCAGCAGCTGCCTGGGCCAAGAGGAGGGGATTTTCAGGAAATGTGTCAAATAGTCCGCACTTCCGCCCCCTGCGAGATGTCAACCAAGAACGGCAACATCAGGCCTCTTCATGCTGTGACAAGACGCCTTTTTCATTTCTTGGGAAGCAGCTTTCTTGTTTGCTTTTGAGACAGGCTGTCACTATGCAGCCCAGGCTGGCCTTGAACCCACCATGTGGCTCAGGCTGACCTAGAGCTCCCACTGATCCTCTTGCCTCAGCCTCCTGAGCTTTTGAGAAACAGCCTGGCAAAGCCCGGCAGCATGAGTCCCTCTGAGGCTGAGATGGCTTTGAAACAACACTAAACCTAGGTCTCCCCATGCTCAGACCACTCTCCCTCCTCAAACCCACCCTGCTTCCACTGCTCACCCTGCAGCCTCCTGGGCTTGAAGGTCCCTCCTCACACTCCCTGGGGATGCCACAGCCACAGCCTGTGAGCAAACCATGGAAGACCTGTTGGCCTTTGACTCATTTCAGACCCCTGGGTCTGCTAGACACAATCTTCCAGGAGAATACACATTCTTCACATTTTTAAGGCTAAATTTACTTGAGGTTACCGGGGATTGAACTCAGGCCCTTGCATTTGCCAGGCAAGCGCTTATTCTACTGAGCCATCTCCCTGGCCCCTAAATTTACTTGAAATGTACAACTTATATGTATACAGCTTGGTGGTTCTTATGGCTTCAACACCCTTGTTCCGTGCATTGGAAAGAAGTTTCCGCACTGATTTCTGGGTGAAGATCTTGAAGTATTTTTTTGGGGGGGGGGTACTGGGAATCAAACTCAGGACCTTGTGCTTGCCAGGCAAGCAAGAAAGTTGAGTTCCCATCAGGAAAGCCAACGTGATAAGCCCCACAAGGCTGAGCAGTGCACTGTCTTCCCCCGTGGAGCCAGGAAGTTATGCTCAAGAGGAGGACCAGAGCTCCCCCAAAATGAACTGTAGCCATTCTCAGCGACAAAGAAGTCCCAAGTTCCTCTTCTGACATGAACAGCCAAGTTAATCAGGAAAGCCAGCATGACAAGTTCACCCAGCGGAACAGCCCAGGAGAACCAAGAGCTTCCAACAGCTTCTCCAAACAGCATCTCTAGCAGCGTCTCAGCAGATTCTCCCATTCTACCTTTTATGCTGCTGGCAACAATCCCCACTCAGGTGGGCCTTCCACGCCCAACACCGAGCTAGTGCAGTTCCTCTGGGTGTAAGACGTTGACCACCAGTTAGCTAGCCACCACAGAGATGGACTGATGGAAAGCGTAAATTTGGACCTCGTGACCACCACCTTTCTCAGGGATGCAGATGTCAACACCAGCAAACGGCTCCTCGCCCAGAAGCAGAACAGACACCAGTGACATGTACTGCAGCATGCGAAGCTCCGTCTTCTCCAGGGGACACCCATTCACCTTGATGAGCCATTGTCCCATTTGCAGTGCACCATGGCTGTGGCTTCTTACAGCCCGAGACTTGCACCGACTGTAGCTGGTCCTTGGATGGCATGGTTCCTAGTGTAGCTGAGAGCTCTTCGCCGCACTGCTCCGCAATCAGAAAAGGGTGTTTGGTTTCTCTAAACCACTGCTGGTTCTCAGAAGCAGCCAGGACAGTGATGGCCTAGACTCCTTCTGAAAATGGGAATAGCCAGGCCAGCATGGGAGGGTCAGGGGTACGAAGCAGGAGCACAGGTGTAGAGAGGGTGCTGTATGGTTGGGGCAGCAGGTGGAAGACCCCGGAGGACGCAGGAGGACAAGCTCACCCCTGTCCTGCCAGAATCACCCCAGCCCCCAACACCACTGTTAGGTCAGGTAACAGCTGACGCTGTGGATGCTGGCACTAGGTGCTGGTTCTGCCCCTCCACGACTGTCTTCATCCTCCCACTTACTCTCTAAAGTAGATCCTCAGCCAGGTGGGGTGGTGTACACCTATAATCTCAGCACTCTTAGGAGGCTGAGGCAGGAGGATTGCTATATATTCTAGGCTGGCCAGGGTTACATTGGGCGATCAAAGCCATCTATGCTACATGGTGAGACCCTATCTCAAAGAACCAAAAATGAATAAAGCAAGTAATCTTCTTATTACCCTCATATTACACAAGGACATGGAGGCAAAGTGAGGTCAAAACGACTTCCTTCA